TGAACTTTTAAGAGAAGAAGAGTTAATTCGAATTACAATCATTTAACAATAAGGAAATGCATTTACAACACAAATTTAAGCAAGTTCTCAGAACTAAAACTAGACGAGAAGTTTTTCAAGCAATTGGAATTTTTATTGGTTTTATTATCTGTGTTAGTATTGTTATTGTTGGTATTTGTATGACTATTGATGGAGTGTCTTTACCAAAAAGATCTGAATGTGGTATTTTATGTGGATTTTGGGTAAATGAACGTGGTGTATTTGATGAAATTATTTCAATGTTTGGTGTGTTTGCTCCATGGGTTTATGGAATTTCAACAATCATTTTAATGCTTATTCATTGTCTTGGAATATTTTGTAGTAAACAAGAAAATGGAGGATTTAAAGTTTGTTTTTAATTATTAATTTGTTTGTATTCAACAAATAAACAAAACTTATTGTTATAGCTCGAATTTATTTCTTTGAGAAAACGAGATTATAGCAAATTAGTTGAAGTTATTGGACTTTTATTGATTGGGTTTGGAGGAGTCCCTTTGTTACAACACATTATCAATCCAAATTTATACCTTAACACTCAAGTCGATATTTATAATATCGGTCAACTTCACTTCCCATTTTTTGGGATTTTCCTCGCAATTATTCGTTGGGTTTTTATTTTGAACTTTTTTATTTCTATAATTTATGCTTTTGTATATAATAAAGCAAATGAATCTTCTACTACAATGGACGACTTGGTTATTCCTTTCTATCTAAGATAGTCTGTAATTCATTTATTTTTTATTAAGTCATATTTATTAAAAATATAGTAACCTGAAAACTATAACTATGTATTTTTATACTTCTGAGTATAATATACTCATTTAAGGCTCTTGAAAAAGTATTTTTATTTATTGATTATGGGCTACTGTTATTTCTTGTTGATAAACATTTTTTTATTAATTATACAAACTCTTTTAGTGGTATTTTATTCCAATTCATAATATTAGATTCTCTTTAATTGCTGACTTATTTCTAAAATAACATTCTTAATAGTATCTATGGACTGTATTCTTTTAAGGTACTAATACATTTTAAATTATCATCGTTAAAGAGAATGGTTAGTATAGTAAGAAATGATAATCATAAAATACACATCATACAATGAATTATTTGAAAATAAATTTAAATTTAGTATTGTTAAAACTGTAGGCTTTATTATTATATTAATCAATATAAATGGATATTGAATTTAATAAGTTCTTTTAGTATGAATAACTGTATTTGTTGAGTATAGAAAGTATTCTTCTTAGATTAAAATGGAATGAATAGATATTCTAGTATTCCTAAAAATAAAATTATTCTCTTATTAGTTATGTCATTATAAATCATTCTATATTTTCAAATTAAGTTATTAAATGTTTAATGATATATTTAAAAAACTAATTATTCTCTTAAAAGAATAAATTATAATACTTAAAAGAGGTTATCTTCAAAAGAAGTAATACATTATGCTTTATTGAGAATATTTTATAATATAAAAATGGTTAATTATCTTGTTTATATTAAATAAAATTCTCTCCTTTTTTATTTAAAAAAATTAACAAATGTATAATACTGATACTCTAATAAGGATATAAACTCTTTTTTCGGTAAAAATATTTTCTTAAAAAAGATTTTATATATCTAATTATTATAAACTTTTCTTTCTCTTTTCATTATACAAAGGAGTTACTCAAATATAGATGTTATTTATGAATAAAAACACAAATTTATTCAAAAGATTTAAAATATTTAATTTTTCTTTTATAAAAAATGATTCATTTTATTCAAAATTATTAGCAATAAATTATAAAATAAGTAAAAAAGTTACTTAATTATCAACAATTGATGTAACAATAATCTCATGTTATAAACAATATAGGAATATACGTTTTACTTTCTGTTAATTTTACTTATGTCTCCAAACTTATGAAATTCAATAACAGTTCTAGAAAAAATTCTATATCTTCCAATTTATTTATGCTACAATTACTTTAATCCTAATGAACAATTCTTAAATAAAAATCTGATTTTAGTCTTACTTTGGTTTTTATGCATTAAAATGTAATGTGATATTGAACAATGATTTCCAACTTTATTAAGTTAATATATTTATATAAATTATTTAATTATACTATAATATGCTTATTACAAATGAGTAGTATTTGTAAGGCTTTTTGTAACTCTTATTTTCTTGTTGTGTTTACATAAAAATTAACTCTTCTTTCAATCTCTTTTTGAAATTCTGTTTTAAGAGTGGGTATGTCGCAGCTCTTCTGACTTCTTCTAATATAAAGACAAATACTTTTAATTCATTTTTGTGAATTTAACATCCTTTAACTTCTTTATTTGAAAAACACAAAATGATATAATTATGTTATTTTGAACCCTAAAAAAATGAAAAAAAATTAAAAATTTCAGAAAGGAATGGTTTGTGGATTGTGCATTGTTAAATACATGATTATATCATATCACCTTATATAAAAAGACAATACATATTCAATGGATATAGCAAAAACAAACAACAAGATTACGAAGAGAATATTTAATGAAAAAAAGTATGGAAAAGTATGATAAAGCACGACTTGACAAACAAGCTGTTATTGCTCAAACAATTGAGAATGGAACTCAATTACCTGCTCATGCAAAAGAAGGATTTGATGTTGCAATGACCAGAATGGATGCAGAAGATGATGCAACAAGACAAATCTCAACATATGATAGTGAATATGCAATGGCAGGAGTTAAAGATCCAAATGTTTTTATTACAACATCAAAAGATCCATCAAGCAAATTAAAAGAATTTGTTAAAGAAATTAAGTTAATTATTCCAAATTCAACAAGAATTAACAGAGGTAATATTCAAATTAAACAATTAGTTGAAACATGTAGAAGTCATGATGTAACTGATTTGATTATTGTTCACGAAAATAGAGGAGAACCAGATGGAATGATTATTTCACATTTTCCATATGGACCAACAGCATATTTTGGATTATACAATGTTGTTTCTAGACATGAAACAAAAACATCTAAAACATTTAGTGAAGTATATCCTCACTTAATATTTGATAATCTCACTACACCATTAGGCAAGCGATTTGAAATGATACTTAAATATTTATTCCCTGTACCAAAAAGTGATTCAAAAAGAGTAATGACATTTTCTAATAGTAGTGATTATATTACATTTAGACATCATGCATATGATTATAATGAACAACATCAATTAGTTCTTCAAGAAATTGGTCCAAGATTTGATTTACGACCATATCAAATCAAACTAGGAACAATTGATATGGATTATGCAGAAAATGAATGGATATTAAGAAGTTTCATTAATTCAGCTACAACAAGAAAATTACTTTGATTGAAATTAAATATTTTTTAATACTTTATTAACACTTAATTTTTATATTGCATAACTTTCTTAATCAATTTTGTTTAACTTCAAAATATCATCAATTTATTACAATAGATGAAAAAGAATAATATCAGTGAACTCTATGCACAATGTATTCAATTATGTAATACAAATAAAGTAAATAAAAAAAATGCATGGGATGTTCCTATTATTGATTTAATGCAAGATATAATTAATGAAAATAATGATAAAAGTAAATTCCAAATGGCAAGCACTTCTATAGATGCTTCTTTAATGATTTATTCTTATAGAGTTGATGATATTTATCAAGCTTTTGCTAATTTTGCTGAATTAATCACTACAAATCAACTAGATAAAGAAGTCAATGATCAAACTCAACAAACTGAATATAAAGATAAAACTCTTCATATAAGAAAAACCAGAAAAGTCAAATTACAAACACTTGAAAAATGTCCATCAAATTTAATTAATAAATCTTCAACAAAATTATATCAAAACGATTTATTGTTCAAAGTGTATCTTCAAAAATATAATACTCATTTTTTATCGTTAATTGGTGATCATGCCTCATTTATTGGTGATTGGAATCAATTTATTGATATCACTTCTTATGTTCAAGATGATTCATCTACTGAAATACCTTGTAATCTCAATTTTGATAAAATTCAACATCATCATATAACTTCACAACATTCTCAACAACCACAACACCAACAATATGACTTTACTGAATTAGATGATTTATGTAGTGAGGATAAACAAAAACCAATTCTTGGAATACCTGTTACAACACCTGGATATTCTTATTACAACAAGTTATTATTTAAAGAGTGGTATCATAACCAAAAAAACCATTCAAAAAGACATAGAGAAAAATCAAAGATGAGAGAAATTGACTTAACAATAATTCCAAGTCATATCACATTACCTTCATTATCTTCTTATACATATTCTACTTTTAAAAAGAAAGAAATACCTAAATTTTCACTTCCTATTAAAACATTAAAATGGTCAGTAAATTGGAGTGTTAATTCATTAGGTCATTGGGATGATGATATTATTGAAAATGACTCTTCTTATGATGAAAATGGTGATACATTTATTGATAATGATGTGAAATCTTGTATCACTGAAGTAACAACTTGTCTCAATCAGAATCATTCACAATGGAATATTATTCAACCACCAAAACAATTTAATACAAACCCACTCCAATGTGTAGAATATCAAAAATTACTTGATTACTCAACACTAGAACAATGTGTTCAATCAGTAATTCTTAATTCTGAAACAAAAGTTATTTCTTTTGAAACAATATACAACCAAACACTTCTTCAATTACCATCTAAATTACGTTCAGAAGCTACTATTCATTATGTTTTTGTAGTAGCATTGATACTAACAAATAAAAATCATTATCATCTCTTAAATCCGTCAATAAATCAACTGTTAGTGAAAATCATTGATTAATTGATTAATTCAGAATTTATTGTTGAAAGTACTTGATATCATTTATGTAATCTCAAAAATGATTTGATATTTTAAAATAAAAAAAAAATAGTTTGGCATTTTTAACATTAATTACAAATAAGATTTTGACTTTTTCATTTTTTGAAAAGGACATTTTTGAGTTGTTGGCATGTTGTAGAAATGACTAGAAGTTCTTCTATAATCAAATAAGTCATTCACAAGTTAAAAAAGGTCCAGATTAATTTCAAGTTCATTTTGACAGGACATTCAATCCTTTTCTAAATTCTCTTGTCTTCATTTTAACAATGCATTAAACTAACTTTATGGTTCTACTCAACCAAGGCATTGTCCATCTCAACAACTATCTATTCTCTGTGATACTTCATTTATTCGTCCATGAGAATCATCAAAATAGAAACACTGAAAAAACCCTTAAAATTTTCTAAAAATAAGAAGTTAAAATAAACCCGAAAGGACAGAACGAAAGAGTGTAAGAAATAAAGAAAATGAAGATGTAAGTTTAAGTTAAATTCATTCAAAAAGAAAAAGAAATGATTGAATTTTTTTTTGAAGATAAAGAAAAACCCTTTAGGAATATTTAAAGAGAATAAGAAACTAAAAAAGTTCATAGAAGAAAATGACAAAGAGATTCTTCTTTACATCGGAAAGTGTTTCAGGTGGACATCCAGATAAAATGTGTGATCAAATTTCAGATGCCATTCTTGATGCATGCCTTGCACAAGACCCACATTCTCATGTTGCATGTGAAACAGCAACAAAAACAGGACTTATTTTAGTTCTTGGAGAAATTACTACTAATGCAGTTATTGATATTCCAAAGATTGTAAGAGGAGTTGTTAAATCTATTGGATATGATGATACAAATAAAGGATTTGATTATCAAACATGTTCTGTTCTTTCATGTGTTGAGCAACAAAGTCAAGATATTGCTAAAGGAGTTCATATTGAAAAGAAAGAAGAAGATATTGGAGCAGGAGATCAAGGAATTATGTTTGGATATGCTACAGATGAGAGTAAAGAAATGATGCCATTAACACATGTTTTAAGTACAAAATTAATTTTAAGACTTCAAGAATGTAGAGAAAAAGGAATTTTACCATGGCTTAGACCAGATTCAAAATCACAAGTTACATTAGAATATGAAGAAATTGAAGGACATTTAAAACCAATTAGAGTTCATACAGTTGTTATTTCAACACAACATGCAGATAATGTAACTAATGAAGAAATTGCAAAAGGATTAGAAGAAGAAGTTACACAAAAAGTTATTCCAAAGGAACTTATGGATGATAAAATGTTAAGATATTATAATCCAAGTGGAAGATTTGTTATTGGAGGACCAATGGGAGATGCAGGATTAACAGGAAGAAAAATTATTGTAGATACATATGGAGGATGGGGAGCACATGGAGGAGGAGCATTCTCAGGAAAAGATTCAAGTAAAGTTGATAGATCAGGAGCATATTGTGCAAGATGGATTGCTAAGAGTTTAGTTCATGCAGGACTTTGTCATAGAGTTCTTGTTCAATTAAGTTATGCTATTGGTGTTTCACATCCATTGAGTATTAATGTAAATACATATGGAACTGGAATTTGTGATGAAACATTATTGGTTGATATTGTTAATAAGAACTTTGATATGAGACCAGGAATGATTATTAAAGAATTAGGATTAACAAAACCTATTTTCCAAAAAACAGCAGTTGGAGGACATTTTGGAAGAAATGATCCAGATTTCAAATGGGAATTCCCAAAAGAATTAGAAATTCCAGCTGAACTTAAACCAAAATTGTTGAAGAATGAACCATAAATTTTGAATACTTTTTAAATCAAAAATATTTTTTGTTTCTTTTATTCTTTTCCTTTAATATCATAATATGACTCTATATATTTTGTGTATTTCTCTTCTTTTTGCTGCTTTAACATATAACTGTTAATTAATCCTTCTTTATCATCAAGAGATTGCAGTTTACATCATAATTGATTTTTACTAATTTTTAATGATTCACTATTCATGTTAATTCTATTGTGAATCTTCTCTTTCAATATGGAGGTAAATACTTTCATTATTACATTTATACAACTGATATGATGTTAATTAGTGACATCGTTCCTATCACCTCCTTTGTTAATTAATATAGTTCTTCCACTTACCATATCTAGAGGGATGTTTTCATTGAAGTTTAACTAATCATTGAAGATATTAAGAATGGAATCTCTTGATGATGACATTCTCTTCCAATAATACCCATATATAGTGTCAATACCTGGTGATTTCCAATTACTTATTTTCATCAGGTTTAAATTTAAATCATCCAATGTGATGATGACACTATCATAATTCCTGTATCTTTCATTCCACGATGTGATTTGATTTATTTTCAAATGTTCTTTATTTAATATTACCTGTGTTTCATATAATGATTTCAAATATTCTAAAGTAATATCGTTATTTGGGTATATTTCATTTTGTGGGTCTTTCTTCTTTATTTTGATTTTCTTATTAGAATCAAACATGATTTTATTTGTATTAATTCTGACATTTTCATTCTTATTAAATTTAATTCTTTCTTTAATCATCGTCATCATATATTTTATGTACTTTATTCTTTCTTGTGATTTAATTTTAATTTCATCTGCATCTTGTTCATTCAATCTCATGATGCATTTTATTCTGTACCATTCTATTGATTAGATATTCTAATCTATTTATTTTCTTTATGATTTCTTTTATTTCATCAAATTTATCTCATTTAAATTTATTTTAGAGATAATAATACATACACATTGAAATCATTTTCATACTTCTTGCAGATTTTCTATTCTCCTGACCATACCCATTTATTATTAATTTCTCTTATTAATTTATCTGATTCTTTCATTTTCCAGTAGTAATTAATATTTACATATTTATCTATTTTCATTTCTTTAACTTGAATGATGATAGAGTTAAGATATTCATTATCAATATCAGTAGAGTTATTTTTTATGATAATATTTTTTATTATTGGGTTACACTCTACTTTCCCTTCTATGATGGAGTTCACTTTCATTTTAATATATCTTTTAGTTGTTTCTTTTATTTTATGTGATATTTTAATATTATTAATGTATTCTTTATCATTATCTACATTAATATTTATTACTTTGATTATATTTTCTATTTGTTCATTTCTTAATTTCTTATTTAATTTCTTATTTAACAAATTAATTGCAAAACAATACAACACATCAATTAAAATTCTATTTGTTTGATTTGTTGTGTTTTCTTCTCTTCTTGACTGATTATCATTTCTTGTTTTTTGACACTCAGTGTTTTGCTCTTTTATTTCCAGAATTGTCTTTTTCATAATTGTAGTTTTGTTCATTTGTATTGTCCCAGATGATGATGTTCCAGTATTTGTTTGTATTTATCATTAGTCATTGTCTTCTTCTTCTTTATTTATGAAATAAAAAATAAATAATAAATTGATGATGATTTGATATTATTTGATTTTGTTCTTCATTTTCTTTTTGTGTATGGTCTAATTCTTTTCTTGTTATTTCTGCAGTCTCATAGTTTTCAATCCCACTTTTTTGATATACAGAGATTTGATTTTATTTATCTCTTATGTTCTTCTTCAACACATCATCATCATTCCTCTTTATCTCATAATTAACAAAGAAAATAATGATTTCATCGTTATGCGTTATTTCTATTTTATATTTCATTTATTTTTCATTGTAATGAATTATTTTATTATTTTAATTTTGAATTTTTCTTATTTCATTATATATAGTTTGAATATTGTTTATTTGTGTTTGAATCTTTTTTATTTCTTCTTCAAATTCTTTCCTGACTGTATCTCATGCTTTTTGAATCATTTCATTTGAAATGGTTCGTTCTTCTTTTTTGTTTGAAGTTCTTTAATAGTTTCTTCTAATTCTTTGATTTTATTTTGAAGTGTGTTAATTTCTTCTTTGCTGCTTTCTTCTTCCATTTTCTCTTCTTTATCTTGTGTTTTCCTTTTATTTTCTTTTTCATTTATTATTCTTGCAGCTTTACATCTATCGTTCATTTCTTTGATTGGATTTTTGTTTTTGATTTCTTCTTCGATTGTTTTAATATCTTCACTTTTCCAATCTTTTGTTTTATTTTTGATTTCTTCTTTGATTTTCTCTAGTGTTTTCTTCTTCCTTATTGAATATACTTCTTGGAGAATATTATACCATTTCTTTTCTTTACCTTCGTACTTTTTAAGTATTTCTGAATATTCTCCTTTTTCGCATTTTCTTGTTATTCTTTTAATTTTCATTTCAATTTCTTTTGTTGTCAACCATTTAGGTTTCTTATTTGTATAATGTTTATTATCATTATATTTACTTTCTTTCTTATTTGTTTTATTTGTATTCTTCTTTTTCTATTCACTTTTTTCTTGTTATTTCTTTTATCATAATTATTATGCATTTTATTGTTATTTCATTCTTTCTTTTCTTTGAACTTGAATACCTGTGTCTTGTTTGATTCTTTACAAGACTCTATGGTATTACTCAATAGCCATGGCAACAAAATTTGTTGTATATTCTGCATTGATAAAAGGATCTGAAAAAAACAAAGAAAAAGTAGATAATTAAGTATTAATAGAAATATTTTATATTGTTCATTGTTCAGTGGAGATTAATTAATCCATTTCTTTTAAAAGTATTTGTTCTTCAACTTTTGGCTTATTCTTTGATTTTAGTTGTTGAATTATGATAATTTCATTTTCTCATTTATTTATTGAGGAATAGAGTATTTGAACATCAATTATTTAAATATTCATTATTTAATTTATTTTTGATTTTGATGCGTTTAAAATTATTCTTTATTTTCTTATTTTAAGGAGAATATATAATTATTACTATATTACTATAGGTTAATATTCTTTTTACCTCAACACTAAATCCTTTTCCTTTGATAATCTTATGTTATCAAATATACTTGTATCATAACAAGTAATAATATCATCTTTATAAATACCTATTCTTTTATTATCAATGATATCATATCATTGTAATTAATAAACACTATTATTCTTGTAGTATTGATTATGATGTTTTTCAACTAAATACAACATTATAACCATTCCATAACTGGTGTATTTGAATGATGATAATATTTTAGGGTATTGTGTTGTGTATCTGACACACCACATTGGAATCATAAAGAATAATATAATAATAATAAAATAAGAAATAATCATTCTTATTATTTATTATATTTATTTTATATTTTATATTGATTTTTATCTTTGATTAACATCACTCATTTCTTCTTTTTGTCATTTTTTTCTGTTCTAAACATCATTCATTTCTTATTTTTATTCTTTATTATTCTTATTTTATATTAGATGATCTTGTATCATTTTATATTTGTTTATATTGTTTGTTTATATTTTATTATTATTATTTATTGTTGTTTATCTTATATCATTTATTTATTATATGTTGTATTGATATTTATCATTGTTAATATGAAATGAATAATAATGAATAAATATAAAATAAGAATAAAAAGATATAAGAATATAACATAAATAATAAAATAAGAAATATATAATAGATATAAAGATAAAAGAATAAGAATAAAATAAAATAAATATAAAATAATATAAATAAAATAAAAAATAAATAAAAAAGAATAAAATAAATATTTTATTATATTTTTATTTATCTTTTATTCTTATTTCTTTTTATTATTTATTAAATTAACACCCCCATTGGGTGTAAATATTTCAAATGAAATAAAATAAAACCAGAATGAAATATGTCCATTTTTATATTCACCATTTCATTCATTGGCAGATGAAAGAAATGGCTGTTCATATTCATTTATTGATTTTATTTTATATTCTTTTTTAGTTTTTAGTTTTCAAATAAACAATAATGAATAAAAATCATTTCATTTCAATTACAATGATTCGTTGTGGTGTGAAACGTTCTGGATGTTGTTTTCCACAAAGTGCATTTGATACTCCTTTATATTCATATGAAGATTGTTTACAATATGATTTTGTTTTATCATTTTCTTTAAAAACATAGATATCATTATCCAATCCAAATGCAAACAAATAATCACTTGTTTGATTAGATAAATAAAATGCATATTGTGGATCATTAATATCAAATTTCTTCATTCCTTTTATTCTTCCTTTTGATTCTAATGAAAATAAAAATGAATTTGGATCATTTATATACCAATTAACTTTATCAATTTTCTCATTAATATATCCTCCAAATTTATTTCCATTTGTATCTTCAATAATAATTATTATATGTTCTTTATTCATTATTTTTTGATTAAATACTGATGTATTCTTATTCCAATCATCAATATCTGAATCAAATATTATATTTCCTATTTTTCTTGATGTCCATTCTTCTATTTGTTTCATTTCTTCAATTGTCTTCTTCGTTACAGTTTTTGTTACTTCTTCTTGTTTTCTTCTTTCTTCTTCTTTTCTTCTTCTCTCTTCTTCCTCTTTTCTCTTCTTTTCTTCTTCTTTTTTCTTTCTTTCTTCTTCTTCTTTTATCTTCTTCTTCTCAAAATAATCACTATAATATGTTTCCCATTCTTTTTTCTTTTTATTAAAGGATTGGGTGATTTTGTCTTTTTCTTCTGGTGTTCTGAATATTTTATCTTTCATGTTCATTTCTTCAATTGAAATGATTTTATTAATTATTTCATTCCGTGTTGTACTTAGTATTTCTTCATCTTTATTACATTCTTCTATTATTTTCTTCATTTGATTCTTTATTATTTCTATTGTTTTAATTGTTTCTTGACTTTTTATTATTATTAGTTTTCTTCTTCTTTCTGTTTCATCAATCCTATCAAATATTCCTTCTCCCCTTTTAATAGCTTCTGAATATGTTTCATCTGCTTTTATTTTAAATATTTCATTTTTAATACTTCCTAAATAATATTGATATTGTTTAGTAGTATCATCAATTGATTGTTGAATATTTGGAAGTGTTTCTACTTCTTCTTTAAAGAAATGAGTGTTCTTGTTTATTAACTCTTCCATTTTAATTTAATGTATTTAAGATTAAAATCAGATGATTAAATACTTAAATACACGTTTATAACACTTCATTTTATTTATTATTTTATTATTTTAATAAACATCATTTCATTTTTATTATTTTAAATTAAATGTTATTTATTTTTTATTATTTTAAATAACATTATGATTCGAATATAGCATATCAGAGACACAACACAGAACTCTAAAATATTATCATCATTCAAATTTACCAGTTATGGAATGGTTATGATATTGTATTTAGTTAGAAAAACATCATAATCAATACTACAAGAATAACAGTGGTTATTAATTACAATGATAGATATCATTGATAATAAAAGAATAGGTATTTATAAAGATGATATTATTACTTATTAGAATACAAGTATATTTGACAGTATAAGATTAATAAAGAAAAATGGTCTAGTGGTTGATACTAAAATGAATATTAATCCATAGTAATACAGTAATAATTATATATTCTTCTTAAAATAAGAAAATAAAGAAGAATTTTAATACTCATCAAAATCAAAAATAAATTAAATAATGAATATTTAAATAATAGATATTTAAAATATTCTATTCCACAATAAATAAATGAGAAAATGAAATTATCACAATTCAACAACTAAAATCAAAGAATGAACTAATAAGTGATGAATAAACACTTCTAAATCAAAGGGATTAATTAATCTCCACTGAACAATGAACAATAGAAGATATTTTTATTAATACTTAATTAACTGCTTCTTTATTCTTTTCCTTTAATAAATTAAATTATCTATTCTTTGATAATTATTTTATAATTATTATTTTTCTTTACTTTCTTTTACTTCTTGAAGTAAAATCAATTTGTTCTAAATCATTAAGTTTCATTTAGTTTATTGTTATTATCTTTTTACTCCTTCTTGATTGTGTTAAGATGGCTCAGATTATGAAAAACTTTCTATGATTGTTTTTGAACAATCATTATTGTTTGTAGATTCTTTTATAAGTGACAAATTTGAAAATAATTCTTTTCTCTTCCCATAAAGTACTTTTTATTGAAAAGAGAGATGACAAGTGGTGTTTTGTAAAATATCGTCTATAATAATTTCAAAGAATTCACAAAAAGAATAAAAAGAACTTAAAACTATAATCAAAATAAATGGAACAGAGTACCGAAGATAAAAAAAAAGGAAAGCTAAGTAAAGCAGGAGATGAAACAAGTCGTATTCGAATGAAGAAAACATTACACAAACATCTCACAGACCTTATGAATGCTATGGGAAAGAAGATGACATTAAATGAACTAGTGGGAATATTATATGAAGACTTTATTCAACACGGAGACACTAATAAACGATGGACATTAAATAAACCAACTCAATCATCAAATGTAAGTGTATTAGGAAAAGAGTTTTATTTATCAGAACAATACTATAAATTACTGTTTGAAGGATTATATTAATTATTGATATTTTTAATTGAATTGAAAAGGAATTTTTAACGATTCAATTTTTTTAATCCATCTAGTTGGTGTAATAACTTTGGTGCCATTTCATCTCCAACTGGGACTTTGTCCTGAAGTGTTTGATGTGAACAATAAAAAGAAATTTAAAATTAGATTTTATTTTTGTGTTTCTTTGTTTTATAAATAAAAGTCGAAAAGTGTTATTTTCTATTAAATTTTAAATGAAAATCAATATTTTCATAATAAACCTTTATTTTTGAGATCACAAATATTCAATGAATTTACATCAAACCAAAAATAATTGTATTAACTTTGGTAGTGCAAAAAGGTTATTTAAGTTTTTTACTAGGTTTTATTAAACCCGTCCTTAAATAAACTTAATAAATCAAATAATGACCAACTCTACTTGGGTTATTATTCGTGCGTCATTAGAGACGGTTGGTAAATTAGTGTTAGTGGGGTTGTGTGGTTATGTTAGTGCCAAACGTGGGTTTTTAACAAAACCTGCTCTTGCGGCATTGTCTAAAGTTACATTTACATTTCCTATGTTTTGTACAATTGTAACTCGTCTTTCATCCTCTGTAGATAATCCAAAAGATATTTTAAATTGGTGGCCTTTGTTAGTGTCATGTTTTTCATTAATTGCTATTGCTGCATTTTTTATGAGAGGAATTGCATTTGTTTCAAAAATGAGTACCAAAGATGCAAGAGTCTTTGTACATACATTTTCTTTTGGAAATCCTACTGTTATCGCATTGGCTATCATTGATTCACTTACAACAGATACAACATTGTTTGGGGAAGGTACTGCTGCACAACAAGCAAAGAAAAGAGGAAGTGCATATATTTCAACACACTTATTTATGTTTTCTTTATTATTTTGGATTCTTGGATATATCTACATTAATTTAAATAAAACAAATGATGAAGACACACTTCCATTAATACAACCATCTAAAACACCTAATGAAATACCAAATGATCATAAAAATGATGATAAACCAAAAGAACAAGTATTTGAAGAAAATCCTCATTGGTATGACCCTGTTATCAATAACATTAAACTTATATGGAATTTTATAGTAAAGATATGGGATGTGATCACTGAATTTGTTTCTAAACAATGGAACAAATTACCTAAAATGGTTAGAGAAATTATTAGTAAATTATTTAATCCTGCTTTCTTAGCTGTCTTTTTTGGAATGTTATTCTTATTTGTAAAACCATTATATAATTTCTTCTTCACAGGGCCATTAAGAGTTGTAGGAAATACGATGAAAGTATTAGACCAAGCAACAGTACCTTTATGTTTAATGATTGTTGGTGCAAATATGGCAAGAGGACCAGTAGCGTCAGGTGTAAGTCCATGGACAATTATGTCAGGTATTGTTATGAAATATGCAATTCTTCCATTTGCATTTGTTAGTGTTATTTATCTTTGTTATTTGTATAACATTTTCATTGATGATCCTGTCTTTGTTTTAATTATGTGTATTGAAACTGCAACACCACCTGTATTTAATACTATAGTCTTGTGTACTCTTGCTTATCCTAAAGGGAATAAATTGGTCGCGTCTTTAACGTTTTGGGGGTATCTCATTGATATTGTAACACTAACAGTAGTTGTAGCTGTTACATTATTATTAATCCAAGATGATCTTAACGTGAATTAATTTATTAACAAATTCTCATATTTTATTTTACTTATTCTCAATAAAGTTCACTCAATAGTAAATTTATTTAAAAAGTATAATTAAGTAATTGTGATCAAAGAACAGAAAAAAAGATCTTAATAAACCAGTTCATGGCCACTTTATTGTGGAGTAGCGTTTATTTTTTCTTAATTGCAGAAATTATCATGCTTATTATTTTATTATTCCCATTACCACCTTTTATTGCTAGGAAGATTCCATTCTTCCTTCGTCATGTGTTGAAGAATAAAACTTTGTTTATTGTTGTTCTTTCAATCTTAACTCTTTGCTTCACTGAGTCTATTAGAAGTCAAATAAAATGTTCTCGTGAATTAGATGAACTTGGAACTGATGATCCTCTTTTAAATAAAGTAACAATAAGCTTAAAGTTTGTTTTTTTATTGGTAGTTCAACTTTGATTTTTCTAATAAAAATTCATCATATTATAGTAAATTCAGAAGTGAAAGAAATATGTATTTGTCTGGATTCTCATTGTTTTTCATTTTTGTTATTTGGAGAGTTGGTGTTTTATATCAACAAATTGACCAAAAAGCAGAAAAAGAGAAGTCAAGTAAAGTTGAATCAAAGGAAACAAAACCAGTTGAAGAAACTGAACGTCCAAAGACTGATTGAACTATTTAATCAGGTTTTTTTATTTTTGAAATTATTTTTTGTATCGGTTTTAATTAAGTTGAGAAGATTTATTAATAATATTTAACTAAACTTTTGTTGAAAATTAATATCAGATGAATGTTCTATATAACTATAAAATCTATTTTTGAAGAATAATAAGTTTATTTTCAACAATGACGTAAAAAAAAACGAATAAATAGTATAAAAATAATATGATAAAAGAAAATAGCAATGTTAATTACTTAGATTTGTTTTATACTTATACTAAATCTTTTTCAGTTATGACCATATTATGCAAATAAATAACTTCTAATATAGTTATTTGATTTATTAATGACATGAAAGGTATTAATTTCTTTTTGAGATTACATATAATTAATAATAATAATTCTCTTTCTTTGTTATTTTTCTTTTTCCCATTTTTTTATTCTTTTTTTTTTTACCAACTTCTTTGACAAGATAAGAGATTAATTTATTAAATAATCCAAGAATATTTCTTCTTGAAATTTTCTTCTTATACTTCTCGGTAGACAAATTATGTACTTTGAACAACAACTAGTTTATTTATTTAAACATTTTATTCTAAGGTCATAAAGACAAGCTTCATCTTATTAATCTTTCTAATTAACTTACTTAAATATCTTCTTACAAAATAAAAGTTTCTCATTAAAATAATAAAATCAATCACACAAATCAATTAAAAGTCAGAATAACTCTTTCCTTTCTTTTTGATAATGATTATCACAATGACAGCAACGATAATAACAATGATTATGAATGCAAGGAAAATGGCAGCAATAATACCGACAACAGCACCTGCACTTAAACTATCATCATCATCGTCACTATTACTACTATTATCATTTAATCCTTCTTCATCTTTCCAAGAGAAAGAAATTCTACCAAGACCAGTGTCGACATTGCTATGGGCTGCAACAAATACATAAACAGATTCACCTTTTTTCATTGGATAAGAAACAATTGTTCCTTTTCTACCAACAGGAGAAGTGGTATAATCACCAAAAGCAACACATTCTTTTGGCCATGACTCTTCTAGTTTAGTAGTACATTCTTTATACATATCGATATGGGAATAGAATGTTGATGAATCATCAGTTAGTGCTTGAAGAGTTTTATCTTCTGGAGCTGTGATATGATACCATACACCTTTTATTCCATCTTCAGTTATTCCACAAATTCTTCTTGATGAAGTAGAGAACATTGTATTGAAATATTTGATTGATGGAACATGAATTTCTTCAGCATTAGAACACATTGAATTATTTGGTCTAACATTATGTTCATAAATACTAACTCTGGTAACTGCTTTTTGAGCGTTAACATCTTTGGCATGGAAAAGAATTGAAGTATTAATAGCAGGAATACTATTATATAATTCTAATTGGATTGTACTTCCAAATCCACATGTTGATTCAGTGTCTGGAGAAAAACAAGTCCAGTGTGGATGATAATAATCACCAGATGCAGTAACTCCAATATTTGAATTGGTTTCCTCACCACATGATGTAGCAACATAAGTAATACCACCATATGTTTTAATTCCATACCAAATACCAATTGATTCTTTTTCTTTATCACAACTCCATTGAGAACGTGATCCACCAAGTAAAGCAACTCCAGTATATGGAAGACTATCAATCATGATTCTCTTTTCAATTGAAGATCCTCTAGTTTCAATTCCATAAGAAGCATAAAACAAAAAAGCACCATATTCTGGTAAATTATTATCGTTATCAAGAATCTTTTTTGCTGTAGCAAAAATGTATCTACTTTCTCCTTTGTTAATTGTAAATGAATATAATCCAGTAAATGAATTACATTGTGTTGGATCTTCACAAAGATCTCTCACTTCTAAATAACTATTATATTTGTTTACATTAGTTGGAATAACTCCTACTACAACATTTGTTTTTTGTTGAATACTCTCAATTTTATACCATGCACCTTGTCTCATAATTGGACCTAAACATCCTACTATAGTTGGAATTCTATTTGATCCAATAATATTTGAAGAAAAGATATCTCCTTTATTTCTAAGTAAAACTGAATGGGCATTAGAACATTGGAAATTACTAACATCACCTGCTCTTAAAATATTTAAAACAACAGTTGCATTCTCATCAGTTGATGATGCTCTAATATAATAATGATGATTCTTTTCTAGTTTCATAACAATATATGAATTTAATCCACATTTTCTATATCCTCCTGAATAACAAACATTACAATCATCTACATAAACTTCTATATCAGTAGGTTTATTTATTGAAGCACATGTATGAATTGCATACATGTTATCATCTCCTTGAACAGAGGTATAAAATCCATAATTATTTTTACCACATCCTGTTTTATCTCTATCTAATCCTGTAACTTTAACTTCAAGAACACTTGGAAATGAATTAATTGCATATGCACTAGAACATGTTGATGCATCAGCTTCATATGAGAAATATGTTTGAATAACTCCAGGTTCTGGATTATAAATATCATGTTGTGTAAATCCAACAAAAACAAAATATTCGTTTCCAATTTCAACATTAAATGCAAGTCTTGATTTTATTCCACAATTCTTACTAACTTGAACTAATGGTTTATCCCCTTTACAATTACCTGTAATATTTGCTCCTTCAACAGAGAGTAAAGAAATAGAAGTAGTAACAGTAGTAAATTTGTTGCATGTATTAATATAAATTTTATCTTTTTTTGCTGTGAATTGATACCAAAAACCATGACCATTTTTATAAGAATCTGGTTTAGTATGATTTGTATCAATGTCTTGAGTAATAGTAACTGGAAGTGTTAATTTCATAGCAGTTTGACAATATGAATTATTTGGTTTTATTTCTTTATCAACAGTTAATCTAAATGCACCAGTTTCATTCTTTGTAACACCAGTAACCATTACAAAGACTTCTTGGTTTTTAAGAACATTAAATCTAACTTTTGATCTATGTCCTTCACATACATTTTGTGAAATGTCTTCTGCTCCAATACATTCCGTTGTAACGCCATTTTCACATTTGGTCCCAACAATAATTCTTGGTGCAATAATTGTCTCTGGATAACAAGTACTTGCAATATATGATGCATCAGAATCACTAGTAAATTTAAAGACATAAGCATTTTGATTAACATCACCAGATGAATAACAATTCCATGTAGATGGATTATTATCTGTTAAAGTAAATGTTCCTGAATCATATATATCAAAATATGGAGTAATAGAAATAGCTGTTGAACATTTGTTTTGACCAAAGGCTAATACAACAAAGCTAAGAAGAATAAACATTATTTAATGAATAAATCAGTTGTATTTGTCCTTTAAATATCCAACAACTTTTCCACCGAAATATTTTATTGAAAAAGAAGTTTAAAACAGAAATTTCATTAGTAAATATCAGTTGAATCTTTCTTCTTAATTTATTGAAAAGAAAAATCAGTTCAATAAAATAAACTATTAAAAACTAAAAACTTTAACATTTTTTCCCTTATTCTGAAATATCAAGAACAAAATCTAAGAATTCTAGAAATAATAATAACATTTCTTACTAAAATTGTCATTTAATTAGTAGAAAATAAAAAACAAAAAACTAAAAATGAATAAAAATGAGAAATAAAGTTACAAACAAGGTGTGTAAATGGATTATACTTTTTTGTATCATATGCTTTGTATGTATATTGTTGTCTGGAAGAGAAACGATTGTTTTAGATACTTATCATGAGTGTTTACAAGAAAAAACAGGGATGGCACGTGATAGTGATGTTATTTTATTATCTCTTGCAGACGAAGGGCGTGTTGATTTAGACAGTATAATAGTACCGATATCATACATGAGACGAGAGACACCGTACAGTACTATTGTTTTATTTGTTGAAAATGGTTTGTATACAAACAATACAAAATTCTTTAATGAAATGAAAGAAAAATTAAGGATTAATATTGAAAAATTTGATAAACCAAATGTCCATATTGCAAATTATCGAATAAAACTATATTACGAATATCTTAAAAATCATAAATTCAATCGAGTGATTCATTGTGATATCTCTGATATTTATTTTCAAAGTGATGTATTTAAATATATTCCAGAGAATGGCAAACTCGTTATGTTTAAAGAAGGATGTAACTCAATTATTCTTATGAACGACCAAAAGAATTTACAATGGTACAAAGAATGTTATCCGAATTTAGATGGTTTAGACTCAACAAAAGAGATTATTAATGCAGGGATTGTATTAGGAGGATATTATCAAATGTTAAAATATATGGGAATAATATGGAATTTATTAGAAACAAATAAAAAATGTGACATAAGTACATTTGGTCCTGATCAAGCAGTAGTAGAATATGCATACCATAATGGATTACTAAAACAATTAATTAGTAAAGTAGAATCAGGTCCAGTTTATTGTAACACTCATCAATTTAAATACAAAGGTGGTAATTATCTTAATTATGGAGTAATGTATGATAGTTATGATTGTGTTGTACCATTTATTCATGGAAGACCACCTTATTATCCACAAAAGGTGATTGATTTTGAAATTTCTCTATATCGTGAAAATATATCATAACAAATAAACAAGACATGATTTATTCTGTTATAGATTCTAATTGAACAAGTACTTCTTTCATTGTTGGTCTTAGTGTTTGATCTGAGTTCCAACACTGTGTAATGAGAGAATTAAAAATTGTCATTTTCTCATTTAAAGCTGGTCTGTATCCCATTAACACTTTTTCTCTAATCTCACTAAAGAATTTAAATTCTGAGAATGGTGTCTTGTTAGTGCTAAGTTCCCAAAGGACAATAGCATAAGAATAGACATCACTTTTTTGAGTGAATGTATTTCCATTAATAACTTCTGGAGCAAGCCAATATGGACACTCTACTTTTGATGGAGTTGAAGCACAAACTGGTATTGTTTCACCAAAATCACTTATAGCACAGCTAATAAATGATTTATTTTTATCTAATTTAATGAGTATATTTGGTGATTTAATATCACAATGAATAAGAGGGATTTTATAAGTATGAAGAAAGTTAATTCCATCTGCTACTTGTTTTGCTATTTTAATTTTTTCATGTAATGAAAATTCATAATGACTTTGATTAATAAGACTATATAAACTACCTCCATTAAAATACTCTATTGTAATAAATAATGGATGAATAGAATATCCATAAATTTTAGCGATTGACTGATGAGAAGGGAAGTTAATGAAATTAATTTCACGTAAAAATTCTTCTAATATAGAGGTAAATAATTGAATAGCTGTTGTTTCTTTATTAAGTCCAGTAACACTAAAATCAATATTTCCCAATTTAAGTACAATAAGTTCTTTGTTAACTTTTCTTTCAAATAGTGAAATAGTAGAGTTAGATCCAGTACCAATATCATTAATAAAATTAAATTGATCTATCGAATCAATACTATGTTTTGGAAAAGTGTCTATTATATAATCTAATAAATATGCAACAGAATTAATTTCATGTTCTTTCCATTTAAAATTATATATAAAAGAATCAATATTTTGTTTAATAATTTCATTTGGAATAATTGTTTTAATTCCTTTAGATAAACATTCGTTACATAAAGCATCAAATCTTTCTATTTTACAGTTAGTTTGTTGACAAATAATTTTAATTTCATTAAAAATAGTATTAATAGTACTCACCATTAAAAATGGTATTTCTACATCATTAATTAATCCTCTAATTCTTATTTCAATTGTTTTTGATAATCTTTTTCCTTCAATAAGAACATATAATTTTCCTAAATTACCACCTTTTTGTACAATAACAATAGCACCATTTTTCCAATATGAATGAACAGTATATTTTAACATAAGAATTGAGATAATTAAATTGATTGCTTTATAATTAATTACTTTCATTTTAATAATTCTACCAATTTCTATTTCATTTCTTAAATGTTGTTCTGGCCAAATGTCTTTATTAAAACTATCTTTATAATCATGAAAAGTATATAATATGACATTACTTAACTCTATTTTTTCAGTAACAATAATAGGAATAGAACTCCAACTTCCATTAGAAGATAATGCAGATGATCCACTTGTTGTTTGACTATATTTTTTTAACTGAGAAGATTGTTCAGAACAATATTTAAAAACATTTTCAAATTGTTTCTGACAACGGAATGGTTTAACAATATCTTTTGTAATTTGTATTAAAAATCCATTTTTCTCAAGAAGTCTTAATATAAATTTAATAGTATCATTTTTAATTCCAAGTAATTCAAATATATTAACACATAAAAATCCATTTTTATCACAATTTTTTTGTATAGTCTTAGATGTTAAAGGAAATAGATCCCAATCAACTAAAACTTGTTGGTCATCTTTAAATTCAACTAAATGGGTTTTATCTCTAAAGTCATTATCAGTTAATAAATACCCATTCCTAGTAAGCCAATTTAATACTTTTTGCCATTCTTTCATTCCAAGGCATTGAATAATCTCTTTAATTTTACCTATTGTAAGACAAAATCCTGGTATTCTTAATCCACTTAATTCATTTAATAAATTAAAACAATTTTCATCTCCTTCGATAACCAATTTTCCTATTTGTTTAAATAATTTATTCCATAAACATGTAATTGTTTTCTTCTTTTTATTATCTGTATAACAATAATATTCAATATCCATCATATTGTTATTAATATTTATATACTCTTTTACATTTATTTCTTCATTACAAATAATATGAATATATCCATGAATTTCCATCATATTTAAGACTTCTAAAACAACTTCTTCTTCAAAACTTTCTTTATTTTGTTTACAAATAATAAATAGACTTCTTCTTAATCTCCAGATATCATTAAGTAATTGTTCTATTGACATTTCAATAACAATTAAACTTTTCTTTTCTTTTTTCTTTTTATCAATAAATTCAAATGTTAGAGAATGTTCATCATTCATTTGAATACTTCCTTCTTCTATAAATTTCTTTTGTAATACTGTAAATATTTCCTTTCTAAATAAACTACCAGTGATAATAATACACTCTAATTCCATTAATCTAATACCATCATTACAAATTTGTTTCATTGTTTTAAGTGAAGGAATTGAAGTTAAAGATAATTTTGTTTTTCTTGGAGTAACATTATTAGCAATGACTTTTAATTGTTTCATAGTTTTAAATAATGCATTTGTTCCATTAACATGATTTGATGATATATTTAAAACTCTTAAAGAAGACATACTAAAAAATGAATAATTCATTTTACTAATATAATTTTCTGATACATCCAATCCAGTTAATGCTAATCTAGTAATTTCTTCAGGTATAATTGGTAGTCTACATCCTGATAATTTTAATTCTTGTAATGAACGAGGTGGATTATTAATAATATCAAGTATATCAAATCTAACATGTGAAAAATTTAATGCAGTAATATTAGGTAATGAACCAAGAATTGTTGGATATGAAAGAAACTCACTTCCATTAAAATATTCTAAATCATTTCCAAGTTCAAACTGAAAGTTCCTTGGAAAATCATTCGATGAAAGATCTAATTTTCTTAATGGAATATTACTTAATTCAGGTAAATTAACTAAACAATTATTACCTAAACTTAATGAAGTTAAATTTGATAATTGAGAAATTCGTGGAGTAATATAAAATATATAATTATCATTTAAATTTAATTCAATCAATTGTGGTAATTGAAGTAATTCAACAGGGAAATCTTTAAGACGATTGCTACTAAGATCTAATATTCTTAACGTAGAAAAAGAAGAAATACAAATATCTATTGGTGGGAATGAATAAATTCCAAGTCCAATATTTTTTGTTGATAAAATATCACTTGTAAAGACTTTAGTAGATTTTTTACTATAATTTAACCATTTATAAATTAATGTACAATAATCTCCTTCAATAAGCTCATTTTTTAATAATTCATTTGAATATTGATATAATGGATTAACAAATTCTGATGAATAGTATTGAACTAATGAAATAAATGAACTCTTTGGATTAATTTGACTATGATTAAATTCATAGAATCTATGAGAAAATATAGAATGAAATGTTAATTGAATTAATCGTTCATCAAATTCAAAAGCATAATTATTTTGTCTATATAAAAAGTTTATACAAAGTAAGAATAATATAAAATAATTTGAATATTCATATCCTTCATTTTCAAAGAAACAAAATGAAATAAAATCTTTTTGTATTAATTCCATAAATCCATTAATAGTACGATAATGTGGATCAATTACTAATTGAATTAATCCACTTAAAACACATAACCCTTTTTCACAACTTTTATTTGAAATAAGAACTAAACGAATTTGTTTTGAAGTAATTTGTTTAACTAGTCTAAAAGTATAGTCTAAAGTAATTCTTATTTCATCACTAATTCTGTTTGATGCTTCAAATAAATATGATACATTTTGATTATTTTTTGTATTAATTGTTGGAAGGAGTTCTTGAATTTTATGTATCATTTCACTAATTTCATGTTCTCCAATAATGTCATATTTAGAAATAGTAAATTGATATCCCTCTTTCATTTTAATTGTAGAATTTGATAATACAGTATCTGCATATACATTCTTTAATAATGGAAATCTTATTAATTGACTTCCATTACTATTTTGATAACAAATAACAGCCTTTAAATCTTTTTCATTAATATGATATATTTCTTGACAGATTGGAACATTAACACTCATCATATTAATTAATTCAATAGGTCCTTCTATTCTCATTCTTTTTACTTCATTAATAATAACATTATTAATTGTTGATGTACAATATAGATATTCTGTTTCAGTTGGATATCTATAATGTTGAATAATATTTTGAATCATTTCTTCATATAATTGAATAGGTCCAACAATTCTAAAAGATAAAACTCTTAAATCTTTACAAATAATACGTAAACAATGAGAATGTTCATTTTGGCTAACTTGAACTCCAAGAATATTACAAATAGAACTACACCCTAAATATTTTAAAACATTTAATTCTCTTTGATTTAATTGAGAGTCTGGCATAAATATAATTCTATGTGATGTAAAATAAACTGATCCTGGAACTGCATCATTTGTATCAAATTCTTCTGTTAATCCAACACAAAATAATGGACAAAATGCAAATTCATATTTTTTAATTACAACCTCCTTCTCATAAGGAAATAGTTCATTAATATCTCTATTATATCTTTGTTTAAAAAACATTAAATCAATTAAAGGAAGAAATTCTTTTTTAAAAGAATTGTTTTGTAACATTGCATTAAAATAACAAAGATATAACTCTTCTTTTTCTTGTCCATTTAATCCATTTTGTTCAGCCAATGCTCTCATAAATAATATCATTTCTTTAAATAATAAAAATCCACATGGAGAATCTTCATTCATTCTTAACATAACATTTTCTATTTCTCCCATTAAATAATTTCTTAACTTTTCAATACCTAATTTGTTCTTCATTGATAATCCCATTTCAAAAACTTTTAATACACTATCATTAATCATTGGTTTAGGAAGACATAAAAAGAAATATTTAAGTAATACAAAAGCAAAATGTGTATCTTTATCTCTAACTAATACTGGTAATTCTCCTAATAAATACTTCTGACTAGTTGAAATAAGGCGAACAAAATCTTCATTTGAAATATTTCCATTTGTATTTAATGAAGTAAAATAATTATCTCCAACACTCTTACATTCTTTTTTGATTATAAAAGCGTCTTGTTCATTAAATCCTAATTGAATTAATTCTTTAATAGTCTTATTTCTACATTTTAATAACGAATAGTTTTTAATAATTTCAACATCTTTTTTATTAAATCTATCCCAATGTAATGGAAATTCACCTAATCTTCTTTCTGTAAGATAATTTAATTTATTAGTAGATTGGTGATAAATGAAAACCATAAGCTGGTGAACAACAACAGGAATATCTTTGAATGTTTTTTCATTTTCTTGATAGTCTTGAAGATTTCTTTTAATTAAAGACTGTCTTTCTGTTTCTACCTTAGAACAAAGTATATCTGAACTTGAGTTATGATGAAAAAAACCTGATCCAATTTTGTTAATTTTCCCAGTTTTTTTCTTTATTAATGAAATAGATGATATAGGATAAACCCCTGATTGCATTAACGATTTTGGACGGGCACATAAATTCTACTTTTGTGAGTTGGCTTTCCTAAATAATTTTTAACAAAACCTCTTTCATAACTATCAAACTTTCTTTACACCACTTTTGATTCCCTAATTCATAAATTTTTTATTTACTAAAAGTATTATTTTTCTTTAAAAAGTTAATCAAACATTAACTGGGTTCTTCTGATCTATCTCCCCAGACATCTCTCAATTTGATATTTTCTTTTTGTAGTTCATTTCAACACTTCTAAAAACAAAAAAATAAAAAACACAATTTAATAGATATATCAGTCATTGAATTTTCTTTAAACCAAAAACTGTTTATCCCTGTTTACTCAATATCTTCTATTATTATTATTATTCCATTTTCAATACATGGACACAAAAAGCTTCCTTTTCCAAAATATAATTCCAAAATTTTCTTCACATCTTCTAAAAAATTTAAAACATTAATGTTTTGTTAAATTTGATCCATTTTTGTTATAAATAACAAAACGTTTAAAAAAGAAATTAAGCAATTATATCCCATTTACCTGTTGTATCTATAGCAATTGGTCCAATAATATCTGACCCTTCTGAATCTACTACACCTAAAAGATATTGACTTCCTGCCCAACAATGATTTAAATAAAGAATTTTCATACATCTCTCAATTAGATGTTCAGCTTCTTCTCGAGACATATGGTCTTTCCATTCTTTTCGTAATAGTGGCATAGCCATATGAGCACCAATACCACTAGCAACATAATTTTCTGTAAATGATGTACCATACATATCAGTTTGTCCAAGGAAAATTTCATCTTTTTTAACTCCTCCAACAATCAATGTAACAAATAATGGTTTTTGATCACATCTATGTTCATATAAAATACGTTGGGCATAACTATATAATTCACTTGGTTTAAATCCGTTTTCTTTACCTTCACAACATTCATCACCATTTCTATTTAAATTAAATACAAATAATAATTTATTATTTGAAGAATAACAAACACTTTCTTTTGTAATGTTTCATTTAATTCAATGAAATCAGAATATTCACCTGAACCACCAATTAATGTATATTTCCCTAATTTTATAATTCGTTCTAAATCTTTGAATAATGCCATAGATCCATATGATCCAAGTGTATCTGCTGCAATAAGAATTCCATTATCATACTTAATACCAATAACAGAAGCTGTACCTAACACAACTCCAGTTGGTTGTTGAATAGGAACATCAATTAATTTATTCATGAAATAATCTTTAGTTCAAATGAGTTCTTTTTTTTCAATCTTCTCTTCTTTTTATTTTTTTCTCTTTTTATTGAATTATTAGGTTTTCCTAATTTCTTATTAATTTTTTAAGGGTTTCTCAATTTCAAAGAATAATTACATAAATGAAAAAAAGGAAAACAAAATTGTTTGAATACATTTATTAACTTTTTTATTAAGAACTTGTATCTTTATGCGTTGTCAATATCAACATCCTAATAATTATTAATCTTTTATATTCAATATTAATAAAAAATATTCAAATAAATAAAAAAATAAAAACAAACAGCTAACCAAGGATCTTGTAAAGCTTCCTCTGCAGTTAATCTTAATGAAGGTTCAAGTACTAACAAATTACTAATAAATTGGATTGCTTCATTTGATACTTCAGACCAATACTCTTCTTGAAAATCATAATCAGCTGCACATACAGCACTTAATATTTCACCTAATGTATCACCAAAAAATGGAGGATAACCACATAATAAAACATATGTAATAACACCAATTGACCACATATCAACTTCCATTCCATATCCTTTTGCATTTAATACTTCTGGAGCAACATAAACAGGTGTGCCACAAGCAGTTAATAATATTTGTGCATCTTCAGTAATCATTTTAGAAAATCCAAAATCAGCAATACGAACATCTGTATCATCATCAGGACTTTTTAATAAAATGTTTTCTGGTTTTAAATCTCTATGAACAATGTTCATTGAATGTAAATATCCAATAGCAGAAATTAATCGTTTAACAACAATTTTTGCTTTATCTTCCGGATAAAATGTTTTATCACTAATTCTATCAAATAACTCACCTCCTTTAACTAGATCAGTTATAATATATAATTTGCCATCATTCCCATCAAATACATCATATAATTTAATTATATATGGATGGTCTACCATTTTTAATATTTTAATTTCACCTTGAAGCTTTTGTGGATCTGATTTAGCTGTATCTATCACTTTTACTGCAACTTCTTCATTTGTTGATTTTTTAATTGCTTCATAAACTACTGAAAATGCACCTTTTCCAATTTCTTTTTTAAGAAGATAATCTCCAACTTCCTTTGACATACCAACTGAACTTTGTAGTTCTTTTTTTTTGTTAAAACTAAAAAATTTTCTTAATAATTTTTAATTAGATTTTATTCAATTTTTTTTTTGTTTTCAAGATCTATAAACCAATTTTTCTTCACATTATTTTAACATAATTTTAGAGGGTATGAAGTTAGTTTAATTGATAAATAATCATTCTTTTTAATTTTCTCTTTTTTTGTTAAAAAAATCTGTTATTCTAAAAAACAAGTTTTCTATTTTTGATTTCTTGTTATTTTGATTTGATTAAGAAGATATTGAATTAGTTTTTAGGATTTAAATTTTAGTTAGTCTTTATTCTCAATATGTTTTCTTTCAATCCCCTCTTTTAATTCATCAAGAAATGTATTAGATCTTTGAATATGAAGTAATGAATACTGACTTAATAATTGATGAATTTGTTTTATTGTTTTTAATTCATTTTTTAATTGAATATTTTCTGTTTCTAAAAGTGCACATTTATTGATCATTCCACAATACTCTTCATACATACTTTCAAGAATATTTGTTAATTCATTTTCTTGATGCTCTTTTCTGAGCTCTTTAATCCATGGAATTTCTTCATATTTTTTTAATTGGAACTCTAGCAATTCTACATAAGTTTGTTGTTTTTCACTAGTAACAGAAGAGTTTAAACTATCTGATGTTTTTGCTGAGTTATTTGGAGCAGGTAATATATTTCTTTGTTGTGTACTAAGTAAAGGTTGATAACTTGTATCAACAAAATTATATTCTATGGTTTTTTCTTGAGAATGAGATTGATAATTTTGGTGTTTTTCATAGGAACTAGATAACTGAGATGTTTTAGTTTTTATTGTAGTTGAAGAGGTATCAGTTTGTGTTGGTGTACTTTCATTTATTAGCTGTGTTTGTTTACATTTTTTCGACTGAGACAATAACAATCCTGATTTCGAATAACTGCCTGATGATGAACCAAAACCAAGAACAAAAGGTTCATAACTTGATGGAGAGCTCATTTATTGAGAAACAAAAATATATCAAAAAGAAGTTACAGAACTTTAAATGAGTTGAAATAGATAATGATATCTATTCTATTTATAAGATTCTAAATCTTGTTATGTTATACAAAATATCAACAGAAATTAAAATAAGAACTTAAAAAAAATATTAAACAGGTGATGAAATTATATTTTTTAATAATTGTATTTTCTAATTGTTTAGCTCTTTCTTATCTTGACGATGAATATTTATATATGGAAGATGGTGTAGTTGATTTTACTGGGAAACAATATGACAGTATAAATTTTGTTACAACACTAACAAAAAACCCTCATTGTCTTCAGTTATTAGAAAAAAGTAAAATTCCTTATCAAGACAACGATACTATTTTCTTCAATGTTTCTCAAATCCGTCCTTTATCAGCATTAATCTCATTATTAAGTTTATCCTTTAGTCAAGATAGAAATCCTTATTATTTAGTTCCTTTTCTTTATCCTTCACAAATGATTGTTCTTCAAAACTATTTTAATATCTCAGACCTGAAACTTCAATCTGGGATTATTCAAACATATGCCAAAATTAATCAAACTTCAGTAATTATAATAGACAGTAGTATGATAACTACAGTATCAGTTTATGAATGGAAAGATGGATCATTTTTAGAGACTGAACGAAAAATATTTAACAAAGGTAGAGTAGATAGACAAATTCAACTAGGAAAACTCATCACGCAAAAAAACTCACAGCTAACAGAAGTTTTTAGGTGTGGTAAAAAATTAGATGAAATCCTTGGGAATGCAGAAGAATTTAGTGAGAAAAATAACATTCCTTTTTGTTTAGTTTCTTCTCAAGATAATATTATTTCTACTCTTAAAGAGTTTTACACTGAAATTATTCAATACCTTAAAAATATTCTTCAACACAAAAAAGGACAATTATTATGTTCAAGTTTTTTAATAAGATATTTCGATAATTTGATTAGAAAAAGTCCAGACTTTAAAGACTGGAAAGTAATTACTGCTAGTATTACCGAAGTATTAAAAAACAAAAAACTTGATAAGTATAGAGTCCTTACTCGAAGTTATGATTACTATACATTATTTAATCCCTACATACAAAATTCTGTTCCTATTTTGACAGATAAACGTTATCAAACTCTTTATGTTAATTTTACTCTACCTTCAAACACAACTCGTTTATGCGAATTACGTGGAACAATTGACTTTTCTCTTCCAGAAGAAAGTATTGGAAATATTTATTTAGATAAAGAACCAAATAAAATGCCAATTCAGCTAACAGGAAGTTTTGAAATAACAATTATTAGGTCTAAACCAGAAATAACTAAACAATCTATATTTTATGAAGAACAACAATGTGATACTTTCCAAGGAAAAGAAAAATGTACGACATCATTAGTTGGAGTTCCAATAAAACTAGTTCTAAGAAAAGATATTGAATTAGCCATTCAAAACAAAGACCGTTTCATACAAGAATCAAAACAATTAACACCTAAATTAAAAGCAGCTTCTTTGAGTTTTAAGTCATTAGATTATATTCAAGAAGGAATTGAATGGCTGAGAAGGAATGGCCATAGTGAAGAGGCACTCATCTTTTCAAAATTTATTTCTAAATCCTCAAATAGTTATGACCTCATTGAAGTAGCTGATTTAGTCTATGATTATGTAATGGAAAATAGTCATGAAATGGAATAAAGACTAAAGTTATTGATTTAATTGTAGTTGAAATAAAAACGTTCACTCTTTGAGGTTTTTTGGCTTTGAATGTCAATTTGTGACATAGACTTAATCATTTGAATTAAACCTTCAAATTCCTTAATACGATAATTTTCTATTTTTCCACTTTTGAGTTCAAAAGTAATTTGAATTATTGAACTCTCAGTAACAACAATAAATACATAATTTGGCTCATTACCATGACCCACTTCACAGACAGAAATGTTTTGGTTTGTTGGTGAGGAAAAACAACAAATTGATTGTTCATCTATATAAGTACCTGAAGTTAAAGCAGAACCAGGTAATGGAATAAATCGAATAGACTTCGATGATACAAATACAACTATTTTTGAGTCGTGAGAAAACGAGAGTTGTTGTACTTGAGACTGAGACTGTCCTCGATAATAACTACCAAATGGAATTAATTTTGGATTTTCTATTTTGTATATAAAACAATATGTTCCAGTAATATCTACTGCTGCTAAATACTCTGATGAGTTATCAATTGCAACTTTTGAAAGTTGTTTTGGAGTAACGTTTTGTCTAACAATAAATTTATCATCATCCCAAGATTTAATTTCTACCCCAGCAGAAGAATTGGACATTAAAAAATATTTTGCTGTAAGCATCCCTAAAGAAAGATGAGGCAAATTTGAGTTATTAATTCTTGTAATAAAATACTTAGAACTACATTCAAATAATGATGGGTCAGCAATTTGAAGTTCCCACTTAAATTCATCTCCTTCTTCACTCGGTTTACCATCCTCCTTAGATCCAATTCTTTCCTTTATGAAATCCCAAGTTTGGAAGTACCTTCTTATCTGTTTGTCAAGGACTAGCACTAACTCCCTTCCATCAGGAGTATCAAAACATCTAATCTGTGAAGGTTGAACTGTTCCAATATCAATTTTCTCAACTATTGGTGTAGTGGGATCTTTATTTGAAGCAGTAATTCTATAGATAATGTTATTTGCTGTTAGTGCAGTAATGGTAAATGGAAGTTTTTCACTTAAATACGCATCAATAACATTTCCTCGATAATTCCATGCTGTTAAACATTCAACCAGTTTTTCATTTTTATATTTAAAAACATGTAAAAATGTAGTTTTTCCTTCTGTCATCCATATAATAATTCCTGGCTCACTAAATGATAAGACCGAACTTAAATATAGAAAAAATCAACAAACAATTCTCCTGGTAATTTCACACTTTTCGCTTTAATTTTAATGTGGCTATTGTTTTGTGAAACGAAGCTGGTATTTAAATCTTTAGCCTCAATTTCAATAGGATTTCGTTTAGGCATTAACTTATTTTTTTCAGTTACTTTTTATAAGTTTTTTGTTCTTTATTCAATAACATTATAAACATCATTAATTTAAAACAAAAAAAAAAATAACAAATAATCGATATATCCACAATTGGATTTTCTTCATATTGAGAATGATTGTTTCAGTTTCTTCAATATACTCTACTTCAACAATAGAGTTCATTTCTAACATATTCGCATAGAAGGTCATCATTAATTTAAAAAAATAATAAAATATAAAAAAAATTAAAGAAAGACACTTAATTTATTTCAGAAATAATTTTCTGAATTCGTTCTTTATTTGGATATGATGATTGAGTCCCATGTCTAGTAACAGAGTCTGAAGCTATTCTAACAGAAATCTCTGCTGATCTCTTTGGATCAAGTCCAATTGCCCAACACCGTGCATAACTTCCAACAAATGCATCCCCTGCCCCTGTTGTGTCAATGGCATTGACACGGACAGATTCAATTTTAATTTGTTCATCTCCAACAATTAAACAACCTTTATCTCCTAATGTAACAATAACAAGAACTCCAAATTCTTTATGTAATTTAAGTGCAGATTCTTCAGGTGTATTTTCACTACCAATTTGCATTGATTCATTAGTATTAACAATTAGTGTGTCAACATATTTTATGATATTACGGTTAATTTCTTTTGGTGCAGGAGCAGGATTCCATAATGTAAGACAACCATGTTGTTTAGCTTGTTTTAATGCCTCATATGTGGCTTCGAGAGGAATTTCATTTTGACAAACAACGATATCTCCTTTTTTAAAAATGTCATTGGCATTAGCACTTATCTATTTAATGAGACAAAACCATATTTTTTAATCAAAAGGTTAACAAACAAATTGAGGAGTAAGTGCTTCATTTGCTCCTGGAATAACAATGATTTGGTTTTGTGCTGTTTCATCAACAGTGATCATTGCAACACCAGTTGGTAAATTACAAAAATGGATCTGGCTAGTATTAACTCCATTATCTTTATAGTTTTGTAAAGTTGAATTGCCAAATTGGTCATGACCTAAGAAACCAACCATAGAAACTTCAACATCATTGAATTTAGATGCCATAATACATTGATTTGCTCCTTTTCCTCCAAACCCAGTGTGAAATTCTCTAATTTTTAATGTGGGTTATGAGAACAATAAATAAAAATAACAAACTTACCAAGAATAGTTTCTCCAGGTTGTGGATAACGCTCACAATATCCAATAAGATCAGTATTTGAAGAACCAACAATTACCACTCTTTTCATTTTATATTTATCAGATCTAATATTCTACAAATTCCATTTAACATAAAAACATAAAAATGGCATCAGCTTCTATTATTTATGATGATATTCATAAAGATTGCTTCTTTTATGAAGAAAAACATGGAAAAGAATTTTATGAAGAACAAGCTGAAAAATGTGAAAGGTTTATTAATGCTAGTAGGAAAGAACAAGAAATATTAGGAAAAGAAATTGAAGAATTGTTAAAGATTTACCATGCAAAACAACAACAGTTCAATCAATTACAACAAAGGAAAGAATTAATAAAAGAACGATTAAAGGAATTTAATGATTATATTGATCATTATAGTGAAGATGAACGAATGACTAAAGAATAATAAAAAAATAATTTAAATCAATGATCCTGGTGTAATGGTTTCAATGTTTCTAGCAGCACAATGATGTCCTTGAGCAATAGCATTTAGTAAAGATGAAGATGAGATTAATGATGCAGATAATCCAGCTGTGAATGAGTCACCACAACCAATTGGATTGACAAATAAATTAATTTGTTCAACTGGTACTTCTGAACGAATACCATTTTTATAAACAATTGTTGATTTACTTCCACGGGTGATAATAACAGTAGTACCTAACTGACTTATTTCTTTTGCTTTATCTAATGATCCATATGTTTGTATAAACTCAGATTCATTTGGTTTGATAATTTCTGGGTGTTCTTTCATAAGAGATAATAAAGGGTCTCCACGAGTATCAGCAATAACCTTACAATTGTGAAGATGAGCGATATGTGCCATTTGTTGAAAAGTGTCATTTGGGATTCCGGGAGCAGTACTTCCTGTGAAAACAACAACTGAGATTGGGTGAGATTGAATAACCTGTTTGAAAGATGGAATGAGTTGCTGGACTTCTTCTTGAGAAATAGGAATACCTTCTTCTACAAGTTCTGTTGCATTTCCATCTTCAAGAATTGTTGTGCAAAATCGAATTCCTCCAATAGGAATAGAAACTAGTTGAATCGAATCCTTTTTGCATAGCTGAGTGAACCATTGTGAGTGTTCACCATTATTTTGAGTGAATAAGATATGAGGGATTGATTGTTGTTGTAATACCCTGCAGACATTAACACCTTTCCCACTGGCACACCAAAAAGACTCTTTTGCTCGATTGACTTCTCCTTTTAAAAATGTTTTAAAAATCATAGTTTTTTGAATGACAGGATTAAGACATACAACCAATACGGTCATCACTAAATTTTGAAGTTGAAATTTCATATAATCATAAATTAAAAAGAAAATCTTAAAAAACGAAAAAAAATAATTAATTCAATATTGTTTTATTTAAAGAGATTATTAATTTCATAAAAATATTCTAAAAAACAAATAGGATATATTAGCTCAATTAAATTTATTTATTCAATAAATAATTATTTATGTGCGATAAGAAGAATACCTCGTGGTGAAATAAATGGATGAAACAATCTTCTACAACTAACAGAAGAACAAAACTCTTTCATAAATAAGACTCTATCAGCCCATACAAACCCTTCAAGAACTTGAGAAAGTCGTGCTTGCAATAAAATGAATGGAATACATTGGAAAAGAATTTCATCACATGCTCCTATAGACTTATACCATTCATTGCATTGTTGAATAGCATCAGGTGTTTTAAGAAATTCATCAACCCATTGAATCAATACATCTTTATAATTTGGGTTTTTAAAAGTAAAGGTGTATGCATGTCGTCTAATGTTTTGTAGTGCTCGAACCAAATATGCACCAAATGATTTTGAATATTGTTCTCGAATTGCGCCAGTATAATGAACTTCAACATAACTAGGGAGATGGTTATGAATAAAAAGTTCTAAGGCAGCACGATAAGATTGCATCTTCATTGCATATAACCATTCATCCCTTGTTTTAGATTGTGGGTGTGGATTAGAAGTAACATAAGATTGTGATAAATGAAATTTAATTTTATGTTCACCTTGAAGTAAATGTTGACTCATTGGAAATCCATATTTATCTGCTTCTTTAATAATTGCATTTTGAGTTTGATTAAAATGTGTTGATAATGATTTTGGGTTTTCTGTTAATTTGTGATAACAACACCCAACCATACAAACTGTTTTAATTTGTGGAATTGCTTTAAAAAATCTCATAAGTGTTGGTGTTAAATCTCCACATGGATGAAGTCCAGTTAACATTACTTTTTCATCTTTTAATTTAGCTATTGATTTAAACTCTTCTGGAGTAGTTTGAGCAGTTAAGAATGCAGTATAACCTTCTGCACGAGCAATTTGTTGACCTGAAGCACGTTTACGTTCAACGTCATTAACTCTAACTTCCATTTTTGAAGTGAATTCGGCATTACCTTCAATTCCAACAACACGAAGGTTTGAGTTTAAAACTATGTATTCAGTTAAATAACCTTTACCACAACCAACATCAACTACTGTAGAAATTCCTTGTTTCTTTGCTATTTCAATAATCTCATTTCCAAGTAATTTAATTTCATACTTTTTCTTTTGTTTCATTAAACATAAATCAATTGGTTGAGAATTTCCTTTTAAATCAACAACAAACCAACTATTTGTAGTTGGGTCTTGAATTCGGTCCATTTCAGCAATTTTAAATGTTGGTGTTAATTTTCTACAATTATCAATAAATTGTTGAAGGGAGACAGGTAAAGGATAATTAGAAGTCAAATAATTTACTATATCTTTATCAATTTTTGATGGAAGAATAACTGATGGCATGACATCAGTTGTTATATTCATCATATAACAATAAACCTCTTTTGAATGTTCAGGATGACTTTTAAGATAATGTTCTAATGGTTCATAATATTCTTTTATCCATTCAGTTGGAAGATTATGATAATGGTCAGTTATCATCCAGTGAACGCTTTTAGTGACAGATAATAGTTCATGATTTTCATCATAAGTATTACCTACAAATAGATATTCGTATTGACTAAGAAAATTATTAAGTTCGTCACAATACTCTTCATAGGAGCTAAAAGTAATAGGAAGAATTTCTTCAGAATCTCTTTCAGGAAGTGACATTCAAATGGTGGTTTGATAACAATAAAAAATATTTATTTATTTTTTGTTTTTTTTCTTTTTTGTTATTGAAAAAAATATTAATTCAATTTTAATTCAATAATAATATTGCGGAATATCATATTTAATTAAAAGAGAAAAATCTTCGATCTCTCAGTAAAACAAATACAAGACTGACGAAACCACTGAAGTTTTGTTACTTGTCTTCAAGAATATATTGGTGTTTGTTAGCAATATAACAAACTAGTGTTTAACCTTTTTTTTCCTTTACTTAAAATAGTTATTGTAAAAACTAAAATCCAAAATTATATTACACACTAATGAAGATATTAAAATAAAGAAAATCCACATCTATTTTACTCTAACACAAAACAGAGTTTATTTGCAAATTCTAAGACAAAAAAACCTTATATAGTACAACGTGGTGATTTAGGCAATATAAACAAAATTACTGAGAAGGTTGATAGAACAATTAATCTTTCTATTAATAATCTGTCCTTGAAAATCCTAATAAAATCAAATTGTTCATAAAGATAAAAAAGTTTATAGCAAATAAACGGCAATATCTAAAATAACAAATCATTTTATGTTTGTAAATTACTATAAAATGGTAAGAGCGAGAAAAACAGAACTATTAATGTTATATAAGAAGAAAGATAGTTTTAGTTGATTAACTAATAGTAATATGTCATGTCTACCTTCTAAAAAATTAGTTTATTCATTTGGTAAAGAAGAAAGCACTAAAGAATTATAGTTGTAACAATTAAGAAGGTTTATATTGAAAGGAAGGAACAATAAGTGTTCTGTAATTGTGAAATTTATTCTTTCAAGTAGAAGACAATAAAATAAATAAAATTTAAATATTAATTTATAATAAAACCATTAATTTTAATAGGAAAGTATAAAAACCTAATTTTAAGTTATAACAACTTAAAAAAGAAAATTAATAAAATTAACAAAATATGAGTGATATTGCTATATTCAATTTAAAACAAGACATTAATGAAGATGACTTAAAAACATTACTACAACCATACGGAAAAATTAGTGAAGTAAAAAGGATATTAAAAATGAATAAACAAAGTATTGGAATTGTTGGGGCAACAAAAAAAAAAGAAATAAAAAAATTAATGGAGGCATTAGAAGGTAAAGAAATTGAGCCAAATAGAAAGATTACTACATTAAGACTCGGGTTTATTCCATTATCCCCAATTGAGGAATCTTTTAGTAAAGCTTGTCAAGAGTATGTTTCTAAAGAACAAGAAATTAAATCAAAAGAAAAAGTAAAAGATGATATCAGATCTCGATTAAAGGATAGATCAAAAGATGATTTCAAGTCCAGATTAAAAGATAAATCAAAGTATGAGTTAAAAGACAAACCAAAAGAACTAGATGAAATTATTACTATTATTAATCAATTAAACGACCCCAATAACAAAGGTAATACTGATAAACTTAATGAATTAAATAAAAAGTTGAAAGAACTTGAACAAAAAAATGGAGGAATAAAAAAACAACACTATTCTGTTCATGACAAAAAGAATTTCAGGTATCAAGGCAAAAAAGATTTTAAACCCTATAAAAAACATCAACAAGAATCAAAACCAAGACCTCATCAAAATAAAAAGTAATGAGTCATAAAGAAATGGATAAGCCAAGTCAAATGAATTTTTATAATGATGATTGAATTATTTTGTCTAGTTGTTGACTTTTTTTATATTAAAAATAACATTTTTAACTAAAAAAAATAGTTTTTATGAAGAATAAAAATAAGATTAATTAAAATCATATCCCTTTAGAACAATTTAATAACTAATGAAGAATTGAAACGAAAAGGCATTATTACTTAGGCTTCATCATAGACCTAGATCTACCAAAAAATGGAAACACAAGCCAATGACCTTAGCAAAATAATCTGTACATTAAATCAAAAAATTGAGGATTTAAGTCATTTAATTCAAATGCAATATATTGAATTTAGTAAAGAACTTAGTAAACGTGATGAAAAAATAAATGATCTAGAAAAAGAGATACAGAGTATTAAACAACGGAAACTTATTGAAGAAGGGATAAAAGAAGATAATGACTATGCACCAATTATTGCTAATAATCTACATATTAATAAAATGATTGTCAAAGAAAAAGAAACAAAATGGAAAGAAATTTTTGAAAAATTTGTATTGAAAGAGTATGTTCCAACCGTTCTAATTCCAAATAAAAATGGTGTTTTAATTTCATCTAAGAAATGGAATAAGGAAAAGAAACCGGTAATGATAAAAAATTTAGGTCATGTAGTATTTTTAGTCACTAACCATCAATACTTTGAAATTTCAATTCAATCTACTCCAGTAAAATTGATGAGTTTTGGAGTTGTTTCATCTTTAACTTATAAAGAAAGAGTTCCAATAGGACAAGAAAAAGAAAGTATTGGTTTTAATTCAAATGGTACTTTATTGCTTGCTAATGGATCAAAGAAAAAGATAACTCGTGCATGGAAATCAAATGATGTTATTGGATGTGGTTATCATGCTCAAGAGAATATCGTTTATTTCACATTGAATGGAGAGAAGATAGTTCAAGTATCAACTGTATTTAGTGACTGGTATCCAGCAATTCAACCCTCTGGGTTTACTCAGTTCACAACAAATTTTGGAGAAACTCCTTTCGTTAAGAGTTTTTAATTTAATTAATCGTTATTATTTCTTCTTTTTATTAAATATTTTGTTTTATAATCATAAGTTTTTTTCTGATCTATAAATATGAATAACAGTGAAAAAATTTCATTTTTTTTTTGAAAGAAAAATAAAAATAAATCATATGAAAACAAAAATAGATCAACATTACTTTTTGGAATCATTTCGTATGAATACTCGAAATCTCTATGACCTTAAAATAACTAAAGAAAAATGACTTTGTCGTATTAGAGAGTATTAAAATCATAGAGTTTCTTTGGAGATTTAAAGTAGTTACTCAAAAATTATATAAGTCAGACTATGTATCATCTAGAAATTACAATGAGCAGAACAGCAAGCTGTAAACAACAGAATTATAAAACAATTGAAGTTTTAAATGTAAATAAAGTTATTAGTATTCATAAAAAAGCTAAAGATGATTCAGAAAGTATTCAAAATTATATGAATCAACTTAAAAAACTAAGAAGTAAGAGAAGAACCCAAAGTTGGTCTCCAATACAATCACCAAAAGAAACCTCTATTCAAGTTGGTGATCAACAATTTGAAGATCGTTATGATTTACTTAATTACTGTATGAATACAAACACAGAACCAACCACTATGAGTGCTACACTCACAAATAAAAGCCCAATTAATGTATAATAGTATTTTTGATTAATATTTTTATGTTTTGTTCTTAATTTTTCTCAAGAATGTTTAATGATTTGATTATTAAGAATACAAAAGAAGTTATGCTAATTAAGTATTTTTTTATTGAATTCAAGATATATAAAATCAGATTTGTGAATTAGATTTTTTTTCATACTACTAAAAAGCTAGTTTAGCTACTATCACTGCTATTGTCATAATCTAATACAACCAAAGAATATCAAAAGATTTTTAAATACTTCTTAAAAAGAAAATATTCTACTTCATTCATCAAAAAATAGATAAGTATAAGAATCTTCTTCTTTAATACTTAGGTTATTGTCATGAACAAGAAATATTATAGTTTATAACACATAACTCTTGGATAAAAAAGAATAAGTGGTGGTAAAAAATTATTTATGAATTAATGAGAATAAGTGAGTTTAAAAGAAGTTAATGTTTAATTAATTTAGAGTTATTTCTTCATCATTTCCAAAAATTGAATTTAACTAAGATAGAAAAATTCACTGAAGTTTCTCTTTACTTCATGTTTACTTCAATACTCTAAATATAGATTTATATTATTTTTAAAAAATTACAAAATAAATAACATAACATAAAATAATATTTGTTTTTAATGACAATATTTATTTAAAAAAAAGTTATTTAATTAATAGTAAAATGAACAATAAAAATAATAAAAAAGAATGATTTGATTGAGGCGAACTAAAATTTTAATAAAACATGTTTGCACTTATCTTCTTCATCCAACTATCAATAGGATTTATTATTGAGGTTCCCACTAACGGATTTCGATGTATTTCAGATGAAGGATTTGATAAAGAAAGGGCAGCGGGGACATACAGATTAGCTGAGGGACAGTCATTAGATAAAAGACAAGTTGTATTTAAAATTTTTAGAGGAGAAAAAGAGAGAACAGAGATTTTCAGTGCCGATTTTGATGATACAAGAAAGCCAAGAGAGTTTGGTGCATTGTTTAACGAAGATCTTGATAAATTATATTTCTGTGTTATTGATTCTGCAAACTCTCGTGGAATTGACCCTGTAAGAGTTGAAATTAACTTTGAAACAGGTAAAACTGAAAATAATTTTGTTGGTAAAGATAAGATAGATACTGTATCAGATAAAGTAGATGATGCTTTAAAAAATTCTGAGGCTATTAAAGAGTATGTAGATAAATGTAAAAAATTGTATGACACTCGTCGTGGTTTAAATGGTTTGTTCTTGTTTTCATTTTAAAAAAAAAGTTCCTCTTTGCTCATGTCTTTAGAGGCAACAAATTCTATGACATTGTGGATGATGATTCTTGTTATTTGTGCTGTTGTTGGAAGTACTCTTTACCAAATTCGTTCAATGAAACAATTCTTTTTGAGAAGAAAATTAGTTTAAATCAAATTCTTTTATTTTTTTTTAGTTTTATGTTTTTTATATTCTTGTTATGAATAAGTAATTAGCGAGTAATACAACAACACTTTGACAAAACACAGGAGGAAGTTAAGAAAACAATTTAATCCATCAGGCACAAAACGAATGCTTGAAATGCTTCATTAACTAATTTGATCTAATTCTTAAAATCATTTTTATTATTTAAGATTTTTTTACTTTCATCTCATAAGTTTCTTATTTCATTGTTACTGTTTATGTGTTGTACTATTGCAATGAATTTAATGATTTATTTAAGAACTAATAGATTGTTTATAAGGATTTTTATTATGGGCTCAATCTTAAAACTCTTTTTTTATTTTTGTATAGAAATTCAAAGAATACCACAAATAAACAAAATGAAGGAAAATGTTAAATATACAGTATTTGAAGTAAAATATAGAATGGAAGGAGGATTTAGTTTGACAAAAATTATAATTACTATATTTATAATATAATTTATAATTATTTATATTAATAGAATATTATATATTTAGTTATTTTGTTATTCTTTTATTTTGTTAATCACTATTTTGAATGATAATGAATTTTTTTAATTTCA